AGAATATTTTCAGAGAATGAAAACAAGAAAACGAATTTGCATTTTCAGGATTTGAAAATGCGTCTGGTAGATTAATTAGAAAACATATTCAGAAAATAAAAACAATGAAAACGTTTCTAGTGGTACAATTTGAGAAAGTAGACGAAGAAAGAAAGAAAGGAACGACGTGGGAAGGGAGAAGAAAAGAGAAAGGAGATAAGAGGAAAAAAGAAAAAAGATGAAAAAAAAAGACATAAAAATAAATTTAACTTTTAAAAAACAATATAGAAAACATCTTGCTTTGATTGGGTATGGGTGGTGATGGCGATGATGATGCTTTGATTGGAGGTGCTAGGGTCGATTGTTTTTTTTCTAAGTGGCGAGATGTGTATTGGGTTCAATTGGGTGTTTGGTGGTGATTCCATTGGTATGGTGGTGGTGTTGGTGTCGGTTGGGTTTGACAGGTGGTGGTGATGTGGGGACTGGGTCTGTGAGGTGTGGTAGTGGTAGTGGTAGAGTCAGTGGCGATGGCGGTGACGATGGTCTGACAGTCATGGGCATGGTGAGTTTGATTTTCGTTTGATTTTCGTTTCGTTTATGTTTTGCTAGTTAGAGTGATGGGGCCTTTGTGTGTTTTTGTTTATGTTTTATTCGTTCGTTTCCTGTGAGAACGAAAACATCTTTTTTCTATTTTCCTGAAGTACACGTGAAGTTGTTCTCATTTTATGAAAACATTATTAGTGTTTTCTGTTTTTAGCCCACCGAATGGATTTTTGGTTTGTTTTTGTTATCTGAAAATGAAAACGGGCGCTAAAAACTTAAACGAACAGCCCCTAAATATCTTCATTCTCTTAATGAAGAACAGTTTAAAAAACAAGTGATAAATAAAAACAAGAAAATCCCCTTCATCTCATCCCACATCTATCGTACAGAGCAACAAAAGAGAAACTATTATTTTCTTTTTCCATTTTTGCAACTCCAACGAGAGGCAAGGATTGAAATATCAGCCGATACACCTATATATCGGCCGATATGTCGGTATTTTCAACTGTCGACACCGATATTGGGGGTTTAAGGCCATATCTTCCCCTATATCGACGATATATCCCTGATAAGTGTGATATCCCTGATATTTCCCGATACCCATAACATAACCCAAAAAAAATTCAAAAGTTTTGAAGGCAATTGAAGCAAATTAAAACCCAAAAATAGCTAATCCTTGCCTAGAACCCTATAAATTATTAATATGAAGAATCTATGCACAGTCCATTGCCCACATACCTCCAATCCATCTGAAGAGGACATGGCGATCAATTTTGGATCTATGAGCATAAGAACTAGACCTAGTACTAACTCAAATGAATCTTATGATGGCTATGGTTATGTTATGTTCGATAGCGGAACTAGTTATGGAGCTCAATATGATGAAACATATTATGGACCTATTAGTTGGGTTAATCTTAACTATCCCATATATGGGAGGACAGTAGGGAGCTCAAGAGAGACCTATGTGCACCATGTTCAAACATGGCTTACAAACTGCTTGGGTTACATGACTTGGTATGACTATTGTATGAATCTAGATGGTTGTTCCTCATTGTTTGAACCTCATAGGAGCTCTTCATTTATGTAGATGGACACTTATCTAAATTGTAATCCAATATTTAAACAAACTATGAATTTATGCATGATTTATTCATTCTAATCAACATTTTATTTTCAAACTTTTCATTAACGCGCATTACATACCACTTATATTTCATCATATATATATCTTATTATTAGTAAATTTTGAGTTTTATTTGTTCAATACATTCATTGATAATGTACATAACATTTATGAAAATTTTACACCAAAATTATGTATTTCAATGTATATGTTTGTCATTTTTGTTGATTTTTTTCTCGATACCTAAAACGATAACGATATATCCCCCAAAATATCCATAAATTGGAGGCCCGATGTTATCTACACGGCCGATATTTTAATCGTTAGCCTTGAAATATCCGTAAATTGGAGGCATGATATTATTTGCACGGCCGATATTTTAATCCTTGGCGAGAGGAATCCAATACCATAAATTGATCAAGGCACCCATGTGCCTTCTCCCTCAATCCTCTGCTTGTTTCTGTTTATGTTTTATTCGTTCATTTCCTGTGAGAACGAAAACATCTTTTTTCTATTTTCCTGAAGTACACGTGAAGTTGTTCTCATTTAATGAAAACGGGCGCTAAAAACTTAAACGAACGACCCCTAAATATCTTCATTCTCTTAATGAAGAACAGTTTAAAAAACAAGTGATAAATAAAAACAAGAAAATCCCCTTCATCTCATCCCACATCTATCGTACAGAGCAACAAAAGAGAAACTATTATTTTCTTTGCCATTTTTGCAACTCCAACGAGCGGCAATGATTGAAATATCGGCCGATACACCTATATATCAGCTGATATGTCGGTATTTTCAATTGTCGACACCGATACTGGGGGGGTAAGGCCCTATCTTCCCCTATATCGAC